ACTTTTTTGCCCCACTGTAGGGTCATTTGTTCTTAATTCATACATATCCATCCATGCAGCAGCTCTGGTTAGGTTCCCCGGCCCTGTTAGTGAGCAGGCAGCAGACATGGAGGAAGCTTCACGAGTCCTTACTGGTCTGTCAGCACAACCGCTAACTAACAGCGCAGACGCTGCTCTAGTACTGACTGCTGTTGGAGGCGGTTTAGGTGGAAGCCGCTGGGTCTGTGCAGAGGCGGGCGCCGCCGGCGACGTTAGATCAACAAACTCTGACAGGTCAGTCAGTAGCTGGGGAACAAAAGGAGCCAACCAATCAGACCAGAGCACGCCCAGTGGAGCTCTACAGGTGAGAGAGGAGCTGTAGCTAGACAGAGACAGACATGACAGGTGGAGTCTAAAAAGATGAGACACACAGAGGGGACACAGGCTGAAACCAGCCCAACGTGTTCACACAACACCTCGTATTTCACACAAGCACAACATCTGTAATCCCAGATTAATCACTTCAGCACCAGCAAAGCCATTTATGTAGATTAGAGGCCTTATAGCTGTTTTTTAGTCAGTTAATGAATCTTTACAGCCTAAGAACATTTTATGAAACTGATTTTAAAATATGTCATTTTGCCTTTTTAAATGAACATTATCAAGTATTACTTAGTTTATAATTTTACTCATTTTCTCTTCATTTAATTGATGCATTAGTGTTCTTACAAGTCATTTTAATTTTATCATTTCAGGATTGATTTTTATTTTATTATTAATTTAATGTTATTAACAAACACAACATTAATGATAAATGAACCCTGACATTTGTTATTTTGGCAGGTTTAAGATCATTTTGGGGTTTTCGTAATGACTCAAAGTTGATTCACGGCTACCCAAATCTGGGGGAAGTGATACCTGTTTGTTTAGGTGCTGAAAATTCAGCTTAATGTTGTACTAGTGTGAAATTAATGTCTTAGGAAATAAACAGCAAACAAATGTGGAATGAACGTGTTAAATGAAAAAAGACTCAAAGACTATAAAGAACTACAAACACTCCACACCAATGAGGATCATCATTGCAAACGCTACAGC